ATATTCATTTATATTTGAAACAATTTTTAAATATTCATTTTTGACCATTTTCAATATTTGATCGTCTGGTGCAAAATCTGCCATATCTATATAAAGATAAATAAAATTATAGTTAAATCTTCCTTTTCCTGACTTAAGTTTTTTTTTGTTTGTAGCTATTGTAACAAGTAAAAATATACTGATGAAATGAGATAGAAAACTCGCGGCATTTTTCTAACAATTCTGATCGAAATATGACGTAGAAGAGAGCCATTAAGAATTTCGAATTTATGATAGAACTATGTATATATACCGTTTTTTATATTTACTTTTTCATACTTAATCGAAAAGATATTTTTTTGTTATTTGAAACGAATGAAATATTTTTAAAAATTTTCGATCATTGAAAATGAATAGTCACATATCCTTAATAATCAGATGATCAACCTTCTATCGAATTCTATATGAAAAAAAAGAAAATAACGTTGCTTTTATTTTAGAGATTCGCCATCGTGCACACACATATTTTAAATGTTGTCTATTCTTAGTAATGACGAGGGTATATATCGAACGAACTAAGAGCAAATGTAGAAGCGAAAATGAAAGATAAAATAATTAACAGATCTATTTCTATGCTCTATACTCGTATCTATTTGTTTTTCTACTTTGAAATATAAACATCAACAGAACGAAAATATTTTCCACGTTCTATAGATTAAATCATAGGATAGCACAAAGAAAATGGATACGATAGATTTCAAGATTCAATATTGAATAAATAGATTTACCATTTAATATAAGCATTTCCTAATTTATTTTTGTAAACTCTTAGTGAATAGGACTTTTTTATACCTCTATATTTGTTAAAAAATAGTAAATTAATTGTGTTTTTATAAGTGATATATATATCATATTGAAATAAATAAAGAAATAATAAACGATATATAATTATACGAGAATAATGAATAGAAAATCTTCAACCATTAATTAGGAAAATAAAAAATTTTTTTTCAATATTTTTTGAATAATCTTCCGACTGTGTTTGATTGTTAGGTTCCGCAGAAAATAACCTTGATTTTATTTTTATTCAGTTTCCAAATTGCGAACAGTTTTAATAATGAAGTTAATTTAGTTTTAATTATAAAAATGCTCATTAACAATAGAAATAGATATCAATATGGTACGTATTTATCATCAGGGACAGTAGCGGCGGACGCCTCACTTGTTTTTGGCTTCTGTAGACTCAGCCTCATCAGACTTTAGCTCATACTTATTTCTATAGAGCAATGAAAATAATAGAAGATCTTAAACAAGAATCAATTGATTAATTGTCTCGTCATTATTCAGATTGACGCTTGAGAATATAAGATAAATATAGTCAAGTTTAAAATATATGAATAATTATTTGAATTATTTTCTAGGATGATTTTAAATCTAAATAATATCTAATAACTCAAACGTTTTATCTTCTCTGATTGAATATAATTTGTTTGATTTTATCTATTGAAATCGAATCTTAGCAATCTTATTTTATCTCAATAAAAATATTACCAAATACAATCCGAACAGACTTCTTACGAAATTCCAATAGCAAATGAGATTCCCATTGTCAATGGTGTTAATATACTCCTTCAATTTTATGTCAAATGAGTTGGTTATCGTTGGTGAGAGCATTAACTATTCGAGAGTGACTTATTAAGGGAATAATAAGCATAGACTACTACTAGTTTCATCTTCAATATAAATGTGTAAACATCGGATTTAAATCCGAGTGTTATGTGTACTGAAGAAAAGTAAAAATTGTTATTTTCTCAAAAATCCTTCTCTTAACCGAAAAATTGAATTGAAAATATTTTCTTAATGTTTTATATTCCATTGTTGTAGCTGGTGAAATTCTCTATTAAAAGTTTTTGTTACGAAAATCGTCATAGGTCAATGTTCGCATAGAAACACCATAGGAAATAAATGACTCGTTTTTCCTCTAACTCAACAATGGATCCTTCCAAATTAAATTTCGTCAAATTTGATAAGAAGATGAACATCTCGGATTCTGTATTGATTTATTTGTGCTAGAAAATGGTAACGATTATTCTTCTTTTCTGCAATGCGTCAATGTTTAAATAGTGAATAAATTCTTCGAGAATTTTACAAATCGATTAGAAATTAGTTACTCAATTCTTAAACGGTAGAAGAATAATTTTTCATAACAGTGAGTAGCATGATAATAAAATAAAGGGTAGAATTTGTTTTTTTTTTTCTACTTTTAGAATTGATGATCATCGATAAACAAATCTAACACTTATATGAAAAAGATAAAAGGCTAAAACTCTGTTTTCAGTTATCATTTTTAAAATATTATTTATTATCTTAAGTGAAACATTCGATAATGAGATAGACGATCGATTGATATTATATAAAACAAGAGGAATTTATTTTAATTCTATAAGAAAATTTATTTTCGAGAAATTATTCTACTATCTATATCAAAGAGAGATAATTATCTATTCAACGATTGTCTCATAGTGTTATCTTATACTTTCATCCTAATGGCGTACATCAACAAGTCAATTAGATTTAAAAAAAAAAAATAATCGAGATTTTTTTCGTTTTTTTTCGCATCTCAACAATGAATATCGAATGAAATAACGTTCAAATAATAATGCATCAATATTAGATAAATTTATATTAGAAATATCTTCTCACCTGACGAGTACTTAACCATATTTAATATCATTATGAGATTTTATATAAATTTATTTTTATAGAATAGAGAAAACATAAATAAACACGAAAGATTTTTTTCTAAACAAAAATAGCTTTTTACTAGGAATAGAGACATTCGAACCGTTTTTTCTTTTTTTATTCTTCCATGAAAACAATCATTAAAAAAGAAATATGTCAATTATCTAACTAAGCAGATCAATTTCTATTCGGGTCTATATTATAGAGAATTCTATCGACAATATTTCAATATATTTATCTAGGAAAATTATTTTAAAAAAAAAGCTTAAATATATCCTCTATGTTCTATCGATATGATTTCGATGGTTATAGTTATATAATTAGATCGTTTACTAACGGTTTAATTGATTTCGAAGGTATAGGTAGAGACTATTGGGAAGAATATTATAAAGACACAGATAAAATCGGATTATTTTCTTACTGTTTATTTATTATAATCGTTTTCTGTAAATTTTTTAGACGATTGAAATAGAAGAGTTGACTGATAAAGTATAGAAATTGAAAAATGACGATATTGATATTTACCGTTGAATTCATTGCAGAAATCAATCTGATGGTAAAAGATGAGGAAAGATAGATTTATTTAACGACGAACGAAACTCTAAACATAACATAGAAAATAATTTTATAACTTTTTAACAAAATTCTTTTCGTCACTCTTATTCAATCCGATTCCTTTCATATTTAAATACCGATTTTAGAATAAATTTTATTCGATTTTTCTTAACGGATTATAGAACGATGTGATAGTATATTGATATAAACTAATAAATAAATATTTCTATCTTGATAGAATATTTATTAGATTTTTATAGAAAATCTTTATTGAAAATATGTTCGAATTTAAAGTTAAATCAATGTCTAGATTAAAACAAAGATTTGGTTTTTTTTTCTAAGTTATACGTTTTATTAAAAAAAAACAAATTCCTTTCGTTTCGAATTGTTGCTCGTATTTCCAAGAAAAAACATTCTCAATTCTACTATTTCCTAGAAATAAAAGACAATATCAATAAGTTCAACTAGATATTAATTATATCTCGTATTCTAGTAACAAATTCTCAAAGAGACACAACGTTTTTTTTATTTAGGATGTTACATAATGAATGTTTCGATTGGTGAGAGTCAATTTTATCTAAAAAAAGATTTCGAGCCTTTTTTATCCTAATGGTCTTCATTTAAGAACATCGTTAGTTAATGTATTTTTCTATATATCTGCGTGATAGGCATGCAACAAACCCAAACCCAAACCCAAACCGTTTGGGGGTTTGGGTTTGGGTATTGAGTTTGGGTTTGGGTTTGGGTTTGGGTATATGAGTTTGGGTTTGAGTTTGGGTTTGGGTATATGAGTTTGGGTTTGGGTTTGGGTTTGGGTTTGGGTTTGGATATGAGCTAAGTGCTCAAACTAACGGTGGGATTCCAGTTTTAATCGTGGCCGGTTTCTATTACATTATTTATTGTTAACGTTTGTTTTTCATCGAGGGTTACTAAATCAAAAAAGATACCTTTGGACTTGCTAGTTGGACTGATAGACTCAAGAATATGAGTAGAGATCCAAAAACCATTGATCACTATGTTTCGGTCTTATTCATCTATTGTCTGTTGCGATATGACTTGAGAAAAGAGATTTGGAGAGTCTTTTGAAGGAGCTCAGCAGAAACTATTTGCATTTTTGTCATTTACATAAAAAAATAGCACATTCGTCGTTACCATGCACGTATTGAACATATAATAAATAACTTACACGAACCATTCTAAATCAAATATTTTTGGACAATATTTTATACTTTTTTTCTCAGTTTGTTATTTTGATGGCTATTGTATGTAACGACCTGGTTATATAAGGTTAGCTTATGCACAGCTTAATCAGATATGTTTTACAAGTCGAAGTTTTTACGACGACAATGTAACATTTTTTTACGGTAATAAACTGAACTGTAATTTTTAATAGATCAGGATCCAGGAAACTTCTTCCGTGTCATCACACGTGTCGATATGCGTCACCAGTATATAAAAAAACGAAGTAAAGGAATTTTAATCGTGTCGTTTAAGCTGAATTTGCAAAGATGTTAGTTCCAGCGGTTGGATGATAATGATATGACTGAATCCAGTCTCACAGTTGAAAAAATCATCTCTCTCTCTTTCTCTTTCGTCTGTTGTTATATGAAAACATACTTGTCGACCAATTCGTAACATCTATCTCGTTTCCATTTCTATATATAAATATCAATAAACCTAATTTTTTTTTCTAATAAACCACAATAACTGTCGTTTACATTTAAATGAAAACCCGACGTCATACTACTGATTCTCGTATAACTTCATCACATAATGATGGTATTAATACATCTCCATCAACATCATCTGATCAACAATCAACTGAAACATCCCCAACTCAAGATGTTATTCAAAACGTTCCAAAGTCTGATGTTTGGCAATATTTCGAAAGGTGTACTTCAACTGGACCTTTAAAAGCAAGATGTCTACTATGCCAACATGAATTATCTACACCGAACTATGGAACATCAACTCTTAAACGTCATCTGGTACAAGTACATGGTATAAAACAATTTGATTCAGCTGATGCACCAAGTTTTTCGACCACACCTATCAAAATATCAAAATCAGAAAAAAAAGCATTAGATTTATTAGCTGTAAATGCAATCATTCAAGATGGTAGAGGATATGGTGATTTACAGAAAACTGGTATCAAAAAATTAATTGATGCTTTGAAACCAGGTAAGAGGATTTTCTGATTGTTATTCAGTGAATAAGATCGGAATGAAATAAATCTTGGTAGTTTAAGTTGTGTTTGGAGCATAATAAACTTAGGAACAGTTTGATTCGTTGTTAAAAATATACTGAGTTAATTTACAAACTTCATCATCTTGCAACGGCGGCACTTTGAGTCAAGAACAGCAAAAAATCATAATGAGTATCGAAATTTAATGATTTATTCTTGAAACCGCTGAAAAGCGGTTATAGGTGCATAATATATAAAAGATATTTGTAGTAAACTGAACAAGACTATTCTCTCATAAAAATATAATTATAGTTTTTTTTTTTGTAATTTCATCTTCTCTACATGTATCTACTCATTTAGTAGCAATTATCATTGTATTAACTTTTGCTATATGTTATCTTTCTTTATTACATGGTCACAACTACTTCTACTTTGTTTTGTTTTAATACTATTTGTTCTATTGTTATATCTTATATTTCCACTAAGTAACAATTAAGACGTTTTCAAGAAGAAAATATTGCGAACTAGCGTATAGTACAAGAGGATAGCAATGATAAGCTGACAAAAAAAAATAATTTTCTATCTTATATTAACAAGCGACCTCGTAATAATTTTACCATGTATTGTCAGCATAATCCTCTCTATATCTTTGTTTCTATGTTAACTCTATTCTTTTGGGAACAATAAAAGAAATGAAAAAAAAAAATAATTCCAACAAAAGTTTTTTTAAAAATTTCTTCAGTTCATGAATTCGAAACTTTTTGATTTCGACATTCTTGAATATGAACTGATTTCTGACAATATCTGAAAGCTCTTGTTGGTAATTTCGAATTGATCGATTTCTAAGAGAAAAAAAGTTGGATCGTGATGGATCCTAAGATTCATCAAAAGCTAGTAGAGTATATTGGATCCATTAGAATTTATCAGAAACTGAGGAAAATAAGCAAACATAGGGGCAACTAACCCTTTAAGTTTTAAGTAAGAAAGAAAAGATGCATCTAAGAAATGGAAATTTTGCTAGACGTTTAGGGGTCTCGGTTGATCTTGACGTGTTTAGTAAATTTAAGATTTAAAAAAATTCATACTTTCCACATTGAATTTAAATCCGTGTAAAACTTTAAGATCTATTCTAGTTTCTAGCGAACTTTAGCTAGTTCTAATGAACTATATTGAAATCAAGTGAATTGCACTAAGATCTGATAGGTTACATGCACTTCAAGGAACTTATCCTATCGACTGCTAGGAGCCGTTTTTCCTTCTTTGTTAACATCATATAAAATATGCCCCTAATACTACATTAACAGGTCAATCTGGACAGAAAGAGGTTGGACAAATAAGTAAAATTTATTCTTTTTCTTTATCAACAGAATGACAATGTTGTTGAACCTAAAGCTGACAGTATAAAGAATTCTGTAATTGAAAAAAGTTTCTCTTTATCATGATTCTTCAAAATTTGATCTTTTGTCTTATTTCTGAAAAAAAGCTGTTAGTGCAACCCATTGCGGAATTAAAAATGTGAAACACGATGTAGCTGCTGTTGCCAATCTTCTAAAAACTATTGCTTTTTACGCATATTAGGTACATTTATTCATCATGGCTTTCTTTACATTATAGAACTCGAACAGGATAATGCCCCATATATAATTCAATAATATGTTACTTATGCATTATCTCTGATATGTCCTTGAAGTCTTATATCACAGTCTATGACGACCGCTAGAGCCTGTCTGTCACGATCTGTGATGGATCCCAAGCCCTGTCTGTCACAGTCTGTGAGGGGTCCAAAGCACTACCTGTCACAGTCTGTGACAGATCCAAACCCCCGTCTGTCACGGTCTGTGATGAGTCCAAAGCCCTGTCTGTCACAGCCTGTGATGGGCTCAAAGCTCTGCCTGTCACGGTCTGTGATGGATCCCAAGCCCTATCTGTCCCGGTCTGTGATGGGTTCAAGCCCTATCTGTCACGGTCTGTGATGGGTCCAAAGTCCTGTCTGTCACGGTCTGTGATGGATCCGGAGCCCTGTCTGTCGCGGTCTGTGATGGGTCGCGTGAGTGTCTGTCACGGTCTGTGAAGGAGCGAAGGGGGGAGGGTGCAAATTTCTTCCTCTAAACATTTCAGCACTTATTTCAGATCATGTTTCACAAAAATGTAGTCTCATCACTTAAAATCTCTATTTTGTAATAGGTTATAAACCACCTCATCGAAATACCGTGGTAAAAGAACTGAAACGTCTTTATCGTCACCATTCTATTCGGACAAAAATTGAATTTGAAGAAGCTACATATTTATCTATTACTTGTGATTTTTGGAAAGACCGAAAAAAGAATTCATATCTAGTAATTACAGGACATCATATTGACAAAAAATTCGATCAAGATTCGAAAATATTACAATTTATGAAATTTGAAGATCGTCACTATTCAATATTGATTGCAAATGAAATTGAAAATCAATTAATTAACCTGAACTTGTATGATAAACTAGTCACCATCACGTGTGACGGCGCGCCTAACATGCGCGATATGTTTAGTTATTTTACTCGTCGAAATATAAAATATATACATTGTACTGCTCACAAATTACATTTAATCATATGCAACAGTTTGAATCTCTGGGTTGCATCAAAAAAAAAAGGAAATACAACAGATGATGAAGTAGGTATTGAAACTGGTATAATGGAAGATGATGAAGATGAAGCTCAAATTAGTTTAAATCAAATGGTGAGAACGATGTCCTTTGATACTGTATCATTATCTAATGAAACAACCAATGATGATAGTGAAAGTGATGAAACATCAAAAGTAAGTTATGAATTTCTATTCTCTTCAGTTGTAGTTTTCAAGATCAAATATAAATTTTGTAATAGTAGAAAGCAAATAAAATAGCAGGTCATTTAAAGAGTAAAAATTGATTTAGTCACTATCAGTTGCTGAAGGCCATTTCTTCTATAAATTTTATTGCAGAACATTGATCATCAAATCGTTTAAACAATTATGAGTGATGAGTCTTATTGGGTTGATAAAGCAATTTTTTTTGCCGAATGATCCTCGAAATCAAGTATGATGTATTAATCGTTACATAAATTATATTGAAAAAATTAGGCATTTGAATCAGTAAATTTTTTTAATTTCAGCTTTGATTTCATAGTATGTTATTAATAATTATTGAGCTCATTTCAAATAGCAACAGATTTTTAATCAATATAGAAGCGTCCCTTGTATTATAATATATATTTAATAGGTGCTACTTAAGTTGTAAGTGTTCAAATATTTTTTTATAAAAGAAAAAAAACAATCGTGAAAAATACGACTATAAATAGATCTTAAGTGCAAGCTATCACCAGATAAAAACACTATCACATATGTATAACAAAAACAACAATCGTTTTGTGATATCGAAAAGAAGACAGTCTACTCTCTAAAAAAAACAGTATTCTCGGAAACCAAGGGAGAAAGGTTTCCGAGTGTTCGGAAACCCATTTCTTGTCCTCGAGAACCCTTTTATCGGTTTCCGAAAGCTCGGAAACCCATTTTTTAGAGAGTA